CCACGACCATGCCGCGTATATGCCACGCTCACCACACAAGCCGGACACACGCTCGCAGAGCACGCCGCGGTGACTTACAAGGGTTCAGAAACAGGTAAGGGGGACCTGTTTTAATGTTTCCTGTTTAAAAAAAAAAAAGCGGCACACTGTAGAACACCAGCAGCTATAGAGGAACAACAAATCCCAGCAATAATACATTAAGCAGCCTGTATAATGTACTATTGCTGGGACTTGTTGTTCCTCCTATAGCTGGTGGTATTCTCCATTGCGCTGTATAATGTATTATTGCTGGGATTTGTAGTTTCTCTATAACTGGTCAGTGGTAATCTGCATTGCGCAGTATAATCATTATACAGCGCAATGGAGAATACCACCAGCTATAGAGGACTACAAATCCCAGCAATAATACATTATATACAGCGCAATGCAGAGTAACGCCAGCTACAGAGGACTACAAATCCCAGCAATAGTACATATGTAGTATAATGTAGTATTGCTACATTCCTCTATAGCTGCTGGTATTCTGCACTGCGCCGCTGTATTATGTACTATATTGCACACCACACTCTTTTTTTTACTTCTACCGCGCCAAGCTTGCTCCCGTGATGGACTACAATCTCACCACAAACTAGTAGTCCATCACTGGAGCCTTTTTTTTTTTATCCGATTAACCGATTAATCGAACTTAATAATCGGCCAACTAATCGATTATGAAAATAATTGTTAGCTGCAGCCCTACCAGACAGAAAAGCATCTATCCTCCAGAAGATGTAATGGAAGGACTTCTGACTCAAGAAGTGAAAGATTGATCCAGTAGCTGAAAAATGAGATCAGATGGACTAAAGATTTTTCTGCAGAAGAAATGTTCTGGCCTGACCTTCCTGCAGGTGATGAAACTATTCCAGTGCTGATTTCTGAAGATTAAGGATTTAAATGAAAAGTTTGGGCATCTGTACAATCAGAGAGACCATCTACGTGGACTGTTTTTTCAACAGAATATTGCCTAAGTATGCTAAAATGGAGATGCCCAGGGAGAGAAATAGGGCTAACACCAGGAGCCAGCACCCTGGGGAACACCACGGGGTGCAGAAGCAAGATAAAAAAAAGCCCAAGCACTCGGATGAACTAGGACCTCTAGGTACACATCCTAACTCACCACAGAAGCCAGAAAGTCTCTCTGAAGAAAGGTAGCATTGCTAGTCCTGCTGGATATTATGCAAAATGTTTAGACATGCACCATATGAAGCCATGTTCTCTTTGGGTTGAAGTACATCTCTTGACACAGTTCTGCAACAGGGACTGGGGAAATTACACATTGTTTCACAAAGATAAAGGGCTAGATGGACACCTGCAAATCTGTGTGGTAACATAGGAAGGTTAGAGGTGAGCACCCGAAGAGGGTATGGACGGTGAGGATTCAGTTTGTATCCCTGGGATAGGATTCACTGTATCTAAGCAACTGAAGAGTAAACTATCTAGGTGTCTGCAAAGTCTAACAAATGCCCCTACACTTTAGCAATTTTTCTGAGGGTTTAGCAGGCTTTTTATCCCAGACATCACATGTAACCAGAAAAACAAGTTTGGAAGGGCTAGACTGACTTACTCCGAGAGTGCAAAAATGAAAGACAGGAGACTTTACGGATTGTTCCCTAGGCTTAATGCACGGAGGCAGGTGGGTGCTCTTGCCTCCAGTGAAGTGCGGGTCCAAAGAGAAGTTGTGCATAGATAAAAGATGTTGTAAACAAGCAAATATGCTTCCAGAAGGCCATAATAACAACTGAAGTGAAAAGCTCTATCTCCGCCAGTGAGAACCAAGAGCTGTAGAGCAGTGTCCCCCCAGCCTTGTTTTAGTCACGACACCTCTAATTTTATGCAAAATCTCATAGCACCGCATTTTAAAATGCAAAAAACATATGTAAAAATGACGTGTGGTCCCTGCAAAATCCATACCAGACCTTTATCTGAGAAAGGGGTCTGGTATGGATTTAAAGGAAGGACCCTTGCAAAGACAAAAAAAAAAAATCTGACACCACCCATCATAACATTTTTAGCCTTCTTCAAATCAGATACCCCCCTTACACATCACAGACAGCATGGCAGAGAGTGGGAGGCAGAGCAGGCCTGGACAGAAGTAAACTTCTGCCCTTTTTTGAATGGATTTCATCCTCCCTGGATAGCATCATTTATTGCCATCTCCTTTCTCTTGCAGAGTCCTATGGAGCCAAATCCCTCCTCCCTGCTCACCACTCCCTCAAGCTAGTAGATAGACAGCTGCTGGAGACTGCATTGTCTTTTGTGATCTTGAACTGAAAATTAAAGTTCATGTAAGCACAGCTGAGAGTTGGAGCCAGCAGTTTGAAAACATGAATACTATAAAGCAGGGTATACACGGTTAGACTTTTGCACAAACGTTTGTACAAAAATCCCTTTGGAACTTTCGATACTAGCATCAGAGACTTGTCGCTTGTCATTTGAAATTTTGTTTAAATATTAATTTTTACTTAACATTTGAGTTTGGAATAAATGGAGTTTCTAAATGAAAACCGATCAATCGCTGATTTGACCCCATTAACGATTAGAAAGTCAAACAAACGTTCCAAATTCGATTTCGTTTATTCAAAATTTTTAACTGTGCAGCAGGTTGATCCTCGGGTTTAACCACAACAATATTAGCCAAAATGGTCTCTTAATTCTGGAGTAATAGCAGATGGCTGTGACTCAAATATAATCTCATCAGGAAGAGACTGGAGTAACTTAAAAACAACTATAATTACTGCGACCGATGGCTTAGAAGGGAAAATCAGCCAAAGAATCTGCGGGACGAAGGAGTGGGAGCAAGATCATAGTCTATGTGTACAGAGCCTGCATTGAACTGCGTGAATAAGAGCAGAAATTAATGGGATTCCAGGTTGCAGGCGTTGGCATCTTAAGAAAGAATGCAACAAGCACACCCCCTTAACAGTTAAGAGTGTGAGATGAGGTCACCTGTACCAGCTAGACTGTTCCCTTTGTGCCTAGAAACAGATATTTTGCAACCACATAGTGACAAGGCAACTAAGTTCAGGGTACAAGACTAGGCCTCAGGTACTCACAAAACCCAGACAGCTGGAAGCTGGGATGGCCAGAGATGCCCCAGGACACAGTAGGCTGGCAGTGGGATTGAAACACACACGGCTCTTGCAAGCAGGAGCTGCAGTGGGAAGATGCTTCTTTGATGCTTTATGGCATGGAGAGAGCATAGAGAATGCCAGTGAGACAGTCTACTCCGAAAATGTCATCAGTGTTGAGCACCAGAGTTTTAACCCCTTCCATGGAAGAAAAAAAAAAACAGGGAAGTTAGCACAGCAGCCTATGAAAACAAGGTAAGCGCCTGATGCTCAGCCGGAATGGCCTACTCATGGAGTGAGTCTTCAGGGGCAGGGCAAGTGATGAGGCAATGCCAGCAGCTCATGACCTGAAAAGCACTCCGCAGCTAACTTTTTACCAGCCTAGAAAGCTACTTCTGCAGAACCCAGTCCCTGAGGGTCACCTCCAGGCTACTCCCATGCTCAGGCTAGTGGGGGGACAGATGAAGGGCTCCAAGCAGAGGACAGCTATGTTAGATAGCTGCATCTGCAGAGATCAACTTTAACAGTGACATAGATTGAAGAAAAACATTTTTTGAATAAAACAGTTTGCTACCAAAATTCCAAGAAGAACTGAAGAACATATCCAAACTTCTAGGACAATAGAAAAAAAAATGAGGCATGCCGATAGTAGGAGGGGTTGGGCTGGTTGGCAGTTTTGTTTTATTGCCAGTGCCCAATCCTCCTGTAGGCCACTGTATATATTAAAAGGTGAAAGTCGTCCCTGTGTCTCTCAATGGAAGAGAAAGAAATAATGTTTGGGAAAAGTATATTTTAATCAGAGGTTCAGTGTATTTTACGAATATATAGCCAGATGCCAGAGGCCAGGCACAGCCTATGTTGTATGCGTTTATTAAACATAAAATATAATAGAGCACTAAAACAAGAGCATCCTCGTCAAATTTAAACTATATGGTAAAATATAAAAATTTTAAAAACAGGTGCAGGTCTGGTACACAATTGGAGACGGACATGTCAACCAACAGACAAAACAATCCATGATCCACTTTTCAGTAACAGAATGTGAACTGTGAATTACTTGTATAAAGAGAAGGGAAAAAAAAGGATACAGATAAAATCATCCATAATCCACATTCAGTAACTAATTACTTAATACAATAATTACTAAATAAGTACAGTACAAAATAATTCTCTCATGCATACCATTTACCACTGAGAAAACATACATACATTCAGAAACAAAAACTTACTGCACTATAGGTTCCAAGTCTGAATACTGATGCTCCCCTCGCCGCTTCCCCAGGTGTAAGGCATCTATTATAGTCTTATCAATATGTTCATTGGACAGCTCTTTTGGAAGCTAGTGAGAAAGTCACAAAAAATTACTGTGGTTACTAATATTCATTAGAAGTTGAAATATACAACATGACAGTGACCCAAAGCACAGGCAAGCAACAAAAACAAAAAAACTAAAAAAAGGGAGAAGAGGAAAGGACTGTTCAAGTAAGACCCTACAAAAAAAAAATACATGAATACAGAATGAGTTAAAATACCACCCAATTGCTACTCAAGTCTGATTACTACCTACAATATGTGTTTTGTTGAGAATAATAATTTCAATAAAGGAGATTCCATTATTATTAAAATTAAATGCTCACATACAATTCCATCAACTGAATAAAATACACCTGTGTTTTGCCCATACAGGGCAAAGCAACAGGTTCACTTTAATGCACATCTCCCCAGAAGCATATAGGTGCCTTTCTTTTACTGTCCTTTGCATCTTTTACAATACTTTCCTCCATCACTGAAAGTATTGTTTTTTTCCCCCTTTAACTCCTAAAGTTGAGTGGTGAGGAAGTGAAGGAAAATGTTCCGTTAGACTTACCGGTAACGGTATTTCTAGGAATCTTCCAGGACAGCAAGCCTACTTCAGGTTGCTGTCCTGGAAGATGATTAGGGAAATGTTCCGTTAGACTTACCGGTAACGGTATTTCTAGGAATCTCCCAGGACAGCAACCTGAAGTAGGCTTGCTGTCCTGGAAGATGATTAGGGAAAGTAAGTATATGCTTCTTGAAATGAGGATTGAGGGCCTGTTCACACACTATTCAGTACAGTGGATTGCATAAACCAAGCCTCGCGTGTTCTGGGGTGGAATGGGGCTTGGTGGTGCCATTCATGTCAATGGCACCGCAAGCACGACTCCCGCCTGCAGTGCGATCGCCCACACCAGAACACGTGGTACAGCAATGCCCTGCGATCGTAAAAAAAATAGTGCGTGCAGTGTCTGTGGTGCCATTGACATGAATAGCACCATCACACCCCCTCCCGCTGCAGGAGGCTTGGATTATGCGATCCAGTGCGTTCAGGGCGCAGAACCGTGCGTATATGGGCTCTGAAGTAAACCTGTTGCTTTGCCCTTATAAAGCAAACCTCTGCTTTGTTGATTATTTGTTCACAGTCCTGCACTCCTATTTGTTCCCTTTACTAAGATTCTGTGCTAAATATCATATATTGATAATACAATTGAGTTTTTAAATTGCACTGTGCTAATAAATATATACTAAACTAATACGTATAACTATGACCACTACTAGAACCATTACTAGAAAGGGGGAAATTTACCCTTCAACCCAAAGGCCTGAAAGCACCAGATCCACGTCTGAACAGTAGAGAGAAATGTTTTTAGGGTGTTTGATAGAGAACATAAGGAAGGTAAAACAATTTCCTGGTTATGTTGGGAGGCAGAGGCCATCTTAGGAAGAGGTTGCCAACTCAGAAACACAATATAAGAAATGGCGACAAGGAAGGCAACTCTGAGTAGGGTCAAAGCAATGTCTCAGAGGTTCTAAGGGGGGCTTCTGCAAAACTGAATGGAATAAATTAAAGTCCTATGGAGTCACCGAAGTATATACAGGGGGGACAACATGAGGGACCCCTGCACAAAGGTCTTCACCAGAGTGAGCCAAGTGGCCTCTTAAAAAATAAGAAAACAATCACCAAGACTATTTTGCCCTGGATGGTACTCAAGGAGCAGGTTCACTTCTCTTTGAGCTGCCCAGCTTCTGATGCCTCCCTGATGGTTGATGCACGTCATAGCCGTGGCATTGTCCAACTGAATACTGGCCAGGTGGCCCTGTAACTGGGAGATCCAGCATTGACAGGACAACCAAACTGCCCTAAGCTAAAGGATGCTGATCAGCAGACAAGATTCCTTTGTCGATCAAGTATCGTAAACAGTCAAGTTCTCGTCTCCAGCCTGACAGACTGGCATCTGTCGTGAGCACCTTCCAGACCACCAGGAGGAACGATTTCCCTCATTCCTACACCAGGTAGGAGTTCCACGTCATTAGAGCAACCTGTCTTGTTGGTCCAGACACTGATTGTTTTTCCCACACAGCCAGAACACTGATCTGCAACAGCCTGGAGTGACATTAAGAATAGGGACCTGTCACGAAGGAGGCACCAACTTCATGCAAAAACAAGTGGTCCAGGACCACAAAGTAAGAGCATGAGAGTAGCGCGACAGGATCTTTTCCAGAAGACCCTGGAGAGGGCCGTGTCTAAGACGTACACGGCCAGAACCTATGATGAAACTGAAAGCCTACCTTAGATTTGGATCCTGAGGCTTGGGAGGGATGAAAGTGAGCTTTCTTAAAGAACAAAACAGAAGAAGATTTAGCTGCTGGAGGCTTAGACTTCTTTTCAGATAAGACGGTCCGCTTGCTCCCCCGTTACTTAATACAAGTATCAAAGGATTAAATGAACAGGCATTCTCCAGTAAAGGTGATGCAATCAAGGCGCTTCTTGCAAGGAAACTCTGTAGACCAGCATTTCAGCCAAAGGGCACAAATAGACAGACGGGAGACCCATCTTGGAGATTTGAATAATGTACACACCAGGCCATCTATGCAGTAGTGAAAGGCCAGAAAGATAGGGTCTGACACATTGCCATGGCGGCAACAGCAAGTTGCAAAGCAGGACCTGCAAGGGCAAAAAGGCCTTAAAGAAGGCTTCTAATCTCTTGTCCATGTGATCATTGAAAATGGGAACACCCTCTACAGGAACCATTAACATGTTTTAACAAGAGAAAGCTAGATCTACAACAGGGATGGCCCATTTCTTAAACGATCTTAATAGGGTGTTGCAAAAACAGGGTGATCCCAGTCACTGTACAACACCGAATGTTAAAAGAGTGTGTACAGGGAAGGTTTTGGTGGGGGTTTGGCATTTTAAAGGATGCCAGACAAGTGACCTTTTGGCAAGGTCAATGCCAGCAGCTCTAACTGTAAACAATCATACACTATGTCCACAAGGACAGAGATACTGTCCTCGTGCTTGGAAGAGATCTCAGGAGAAAGGTCCTCTTCCCGAGCAGATTCTATGGCATTGGAAGCAACCTCTTCTTCATCTTCCACAGGCAGTGCATGAGCACACAGAGAAAGGTCAGAGGGGGACTCTGAAGGAAAAGGAGAGGGGGCCTGCCTATGCCACCTGTGGTCTAAACATTCTAAGACTGCACACATTTGCCCCTAAATTTTCGCCATTACAGCAGTACACATCTTTTGCCAGGGCAGAGAAGAGGTGCCCTGGAAGGTGCAAACCATAGGGCTGATAGAAACAGCATCCTCTGAACTATTGTTAGGTTGTGAGGTCCCAGAGTCTATCATCCATGCCTCCCCAGTGTCAAATCCCTGCATACCTGTATAACCCAACTTGTTAAAAAGGAGAACTATGGGGTTAAGGCTTTTCCCCATAGTTCTCCTTAGGGTAACGGGAGGACACAAACTAGCGTCCTCCCGTCACCCTAGGCTCTTCCTGTGATGTACTCCAAGAAATAGATTTTGTGCCCTGTGATGTACAATCAAAAAGGATGTGGGTCTGCTCTACTTCTAAAAATGCTAGTTGCCTTGCTTTTAAGCTGCCTCGCTAGCTTCTACTTTCTTAGTCACTGACAATACAAGTGTACCTTGCTGTAAAGTCAAGGTCAAGTCAAAAGCACTTGTTCCAGATCAGTGACTGAAAGCATTGAGGCTGCATCAGCATAACAACCAAGGAACTATCATATTGAGAAAGAAAGCTCAACAGCCACCAAGATTATTTAATCGCAGGTTTCCAATAGGATATAGACATAAAATGGCCACTAGATTCTGGCATTTTCCCATTTACCAGGCTAAACTTGGCTCCATCCTAATTGGATGCAATAATCTCATTCCCTTAGTAACAGACACATAAGCTGCAAAGATATAACAAAGCATATGAAAGATAAGAAAACTGAAATATAGAAAGGTCAATTTTACTGGATGCTCTAGGCCAGTGCTACTTAAAATGTAGGTTGCAACCCCATATAGGGTCCCGCGATCTGAATCCCCGGACAGAACCACCATCAGGATGGTACGGCCGGTACTTGTGTGAGGACCCCAGGTGGCCGGGGAGGCCTGGGCTCCAAGCAAGATTTTTTTAATTTTAGCTTAATGTTTAATGTGCACTGTAGTTTTTAAGGTTGCGGCCATCCCTGTGCACGTGCACGCAGGAAAGTTTCCTTTACCTCCACAGCTGCTGGAGGTAAAGGAAGGGAGGGAGAGGGGGCTTAGTAGTAGTAGTAGTAGTAGTTGGTAATGACAGGCACTGACCACCCGTCTACAACGACGAGGGGGGTGGGTGGTGAAGAGTTGGGGAGGAGGAGAGACACAGACTGACAATTGGAGGCGGCGGGTGACGAGGAGAGAGACACTGACAGACGCTGGGGGGCGGGGGGAGACGACAGAGAGAGACACCGACTGACGCTAGGGGAGGGGGTAGACACTGACCGACGCTGGGGGAAAAAAAGGGGAGAGACACCGTCCGACGCTGGGGTCCATTAAAAATGTCCTCTCCCAAAAAGGGGTCACGAGTGGAGAAAGTTTAAGAAGGCCTGCTCTAGACCAAGCTGTGCAGCCGTCCAGAGGTTCCGACAAGAGACCTGGTTGTGCTTTTTTTGAAGAGAAGAGGAGTGAGACGCTGACCGACGCTGGTGGGGGGGAGAGGAGAGGAGTCAGACGCTGACCGACGCTGGTGGGGGGTGGGGGGGTAGAGAAGAGGAGAGAGACACTGACCGACGCTGGGGGAGGGAAGAGGAGAGAGACACTGATCGACGCTGGAGAGAGACGCTGACCGACGCTAGCGCCAACAAACGCTAGCGGAGGGGGGAGACACCGACGCTTTGGGAAAGAGGGGAAGAGACACCGTCCGCTGCTGGGGTCCCTTAAAAATTTCGTTGGACAAAAAGGGGTCACGAGTGGAGAAAGTTTAAGAAGGCCTGTTCTAGGCAACACAGACAGTTATTTTAGCTACATTCAATCATGACACTCAATGCCCAACTACCAATTAGACAATTTCATTATTAGAAACTAGGGATGTTCAGATATCAAATAACGTACTCGGTACAAGTACATGTACAGATACTTTTCCAGCTCCAAGACTAGACTAGAGAAAAATGTAAAAGTTATAAATCAGCTGTCATTTGTAAGGAGCATACGAGGCTCCTGGGATTTGTGCATCACTGTTTTTATGTATGATTTTTTTTTAAATAAAAAGGTATGCACCGATACCATTTTTACAAGTATTGATACTTGTCCAAGAGCTCACAGATACAAGTACCGATACATTTTTGTTTGTCATGTGAGTTTTTCTAAAATAATACAGACTAATGATTTCAGAACAGTGGTGGAGCCCCAGTGCCCAGTCACGCCTGCAACTTCTGCAACCCTGGTAGTTCTCATGAAAATGCCAAGTATCGGCACTGGTATCTGAACATCCCTATTAGAAACCAATAAATAAGGGGCAGTCACTTTGTATTCCACACCACCATTTCTGTTCAGCTATTTCGGTCACCATGAACTACAGTGCCTTAACATTTACAATCAAGTGACGTATGTTTTTTTTCCTTTTCTATTTGGGTTACAAATTTTAGTCTTCTATAGTCAAATATAAGCTGGCTGTGGTATAAAAAGCACATGAAATAATAAAAAGGGACACTTGTCAACAGAAAAGCATGGGAGTTGCAACTGCTGACTTGTTTTTGAATGTTCAAGCTTCAAAAATGCCATTATGCATGTTTGCAAACAAACCAGTAAATGGTGGCCGTAATACTTCTATCCTAATAGGATAAATCCTTAAATAATTCTGAAATTCTTGTGGCATTGAGCTCTTGGCTTCAATACTTTAAATCACAGGCCTGAAACCAGCATAAAGCAAATAAAGTCATATCCCCCAGTTTAAAAACTTGTTTGAGGTAAAATGATTAAGGATTCTTCTACAACAACCACCAAGCAATTTGCAGTTTCAGGTGCGTGTCAAGATAAGTTTCCCTTAAGATATTAATCTAAAATCAACAGGTATTTTTTTCTCCATAGTATCAGAAAATAGGCAATACCGTTAACAGGAATTCCACCAACTCCCGATATGACTTTGTTACCGACGTTTTGGAATTATCGGACCAGGTCACCTAAAACAAAAAGAAAACAGTCAAGCATAATCAGTTCAGTCCCAGAGAGTTTTTTTTTTTACAACTTCTGCAAGGAGTTTGCATTTTCTCCTGTGCTTTCTTGGGTTTCCTCCAGGAACTCCAGTTTCTTCCCACACTCCAAAAAGATGCTGGAAGGTTAATTGGCTCCTATTTAAATAGGCCATGTATGTAGGCATGTGAAATAGGAACCTGAGATTGTGGGCTAATTGAGGTCAGGGACTGATGTGAATGTAAATTGACGACCCTATATAAAATACCTGTAATAAAAACCATCTATATGAACTATAATAATTTTTGCTGGGGACAGATGGGGCTTTAGTTTGGCAGCTGAAATAGTATATATATATA